CCCTGCCAGCGTAAATCTTCGGTTTGGAGATAATTAAGCTGTCCTCCCACCTCCACCCCAACCAGCAGAAGACAAAAACCGATGTGTTTTTTTTTTCTCCCCTTTTAAATGAACATTTCAAATAGATGCGTATCCCACCTCTCACCGCATCCAAGCCCAGAGCCTCCAGATTAAGTCTTTTTTTTTTTTTTTTGTTAACCTCACATAATTTACCCTCACAGCGAAAAATAGATGTAACCTATAAAATCGGCAAAATAGCTATAATTAACCCTATATTTTATGCCCCGGGATTATTCATGCTCGCCAGCAAACAGCCCGCTTGCCGCCGTTAATGAAGTCAAGGTGTTACGCGGAGCCCCGCGGCCGCGCGCGGGAGACGCGCGTCTTGCGTGGAGCAAGGGCGCCACCTAGCGGCGCTGCGCGGAGCCGCAGCCTGCGCGGGGAGGGTGGGAGGTTTCCTTTAAGGGGGGACACACACACACACAGAGAAAAAAGCGGGGGGATCCCAGCTCCGACCTGGGGAAATAAAAAGCGGGCAAAAGCGAGGGGGGGGGCAGGGGAGAAGGGAGAAAAGGGAAAAATCGAGTTGCGCCTCCTCGCCCCGCAGCGCTAAAGTTTTCCGCGCCAAAAGCTGCACCATCCAGCCGGCAATAAAAGAGGGAAAATGGGTTTGCTTTTGAAAACCACTATTGTTTCAAATTCCGAGACTAAACAATTGGTCATTCTGCTCTGGAGGGGGAAGGCCAGAGCTGTAAACCGATAAAGAGCTTCCCAAGCCCAGACGTCTCGCCAGAACTTCGAGTGTGTGAGGGGTGTGTGTGTGTGTGTGTGCCTCTGTGTGTGTGTGAGTGTTGTTGTGTGCACAGCTCAGCGTTCTGGCAGCCTGGAATTGCTTTAAAGGAAAAAGAGAAAAAAAAAAAAAAAAAAAAAAAAAGGGGGGGGGGGGGGCAAAAAAGGAAAAAGAACAAAGAGAATCATCCAGAGCGCTGGATTTTCACGGCATCTGCAAGAGAAGAATAAATTAGCCAAAGTCCCTCCCCACCTTTTCTCTCCCTCTCTGCCCCCCACCTTTTTTTTTAAATACCCCCTCCCCTAGGAAAGAAAAAAAAAAAAAAGAGGGGAACTTTGTGACTGAAGCAGAAACAAGAGCATTTACACGTTGGGTTTCCCCACATTCCCAAGTCGTTGTAGTAATTTAGGAGTTCCTGAAAGTTTTCTTGCACTGTTTGCTTTACAGCCGTTTAGTTCCTTAACCTTCAGAAATTTATACCCTATAAAGTTTTATAGCGGTCATATTCTTTTATTGCAGCACACTGCACTGAATTTTCCTTTTTTTTTATGACAAGTTACTTCCCTTTCTCTCTCTTCCCTCAGTAAGCTCCAAATATCTTTCTTCTTCTTTTGTTTTCTTTTCAGAGCTTCCCCAAAGAAAGGATTTTTTTAAGAAGTGAAATATTGCCCTTTAGAGCGCCCATTATGTTAAAAATTAGTGGAAAGAAATCCTCGGTTATATTTCTCACTACCTGCTTCCTGCAGGGCTGAGCAGGTCTTAGGGTTTGTTTGTTTTTTAAATATAGAGATAGAAACACTTTCTAAGCCCTTGTATTTCTTCATGAGCAATAAAATGTCAAACGAATTTAGAGACGGAGTTATAGGAACCGCTCATTGAGCCCTTGGAAAAAGGAACCGCGTGTCAAATCCGAGGTGATGCCAAGCAGGGAAAGCGGGGTGGGGTTTCTCACTGTTTGGTTTGGGTTTCTAATTTTTCTTTAGCAAAGTTTTCCTTGGGCGGTAGGGGAACAAACCAAAGAAAGTCAAATAACGGCAGTCCGTTCTGCGCCTTTGCTTCTGGTCCCCTAGGCTGATGTGGGAAAGCAAAGATTAAACCCTCAAAACCAAACAAATAAACAAGCAAACAAGCAAACAACCACCGGGAAATGTAACCAAGGATTAAATACCTCAAATTTTAAAATAAAAATTAGAAAAATATTTAGAAAGGCAGCAAGTTTGCATGGGACCAAGTAAGCACTTGCTACACCAGAGAGGAATTCTTTCCATTTGCCTCTGGACATGTTTTCTTAACCTAAGCAAAAATTGATTCTTATAATACACTTAACGAGCCACTAAAGAACGCAGGAAAACACAATGAAAATATTTTCGAAATTTTAGATGAAGCAGTATAACACAATGACATATAGGAGCTGTTGTTCTAAAATCGATTTTTATTCTGGAGCATTAAACATCTCTGGAAAATACATCCGGGCTGATGCTACAGAAGACAGTTTTTCCAACATTTTTAAAGTAAGCATATTTCCTAATAAAATGAACTAACATTTTAAATTCTATTTAAAAAGAACCTTATATTGCCGTCTTAAAAATATCCGCTCTTTACCACAATTCTAAGGAAAGTGAAAAACGTTTCTAAATCTAGTGGCCGATGGGTTGCAAACATCAATTAAGTCACGGATACGCTTCTGAAAAATATAGTAATGGGGATTTAGGCAAGTCCATACTCAGCTGAGATATGAGGAATATACCAATTCAGCACGAAGCAGATTTGAAATTCATCCATCCTTGAGAAGAATCAAACAAAACTGAAAAATCCGAGTCCCCAGCTTAAACACAGCTAAATCATCTTTTTTTCGACCCACTTTTTTTTTTTTTTTTAATAAATCCGGATTTAGAAAAATGATCCTGCTGCCACCAACTTTTTTTTTCTTCCCCCCCCCCAGCTCAAAATGTCGCTGAAACAGCTTTTCTTAATTGAGTTTCGAGGAAGGAGATTAGGGGCTTTGACACAGGGTGAAGTTTTGTAACTCCCTCCGGCAACAGAACAGTTAAATTTTTAAGCCCCCAAGGAGCTACTTCATGATGGAAAGTTTTACATGAGAAAGTCTAGGCATTAAAAAAAAGCACAAAACTTTCTGAGGAATGATCTTAAACACTTAAGATCTGGTTTCTTGTCGAGTGGGAGATTTTATTTTTCTTTTACCCCTTTCAAGAGGAATTGAAATGGTGGAAATTTCAGTGCACCGAGGCGCAGCTACTTGTTTCTTATCTCTGGACCGTGGGGGAAGAGAAAAAAAAAAAAAGCAGGAACACTTTCCAAAAACCTCAATCTGCCTATCGCTTCTTCCCAGAGCAATCTCTGTTCAGCAGATAAAAGTGGTCTCACAAAACCTGACGCTAAGGATACACAAATTAGTCCCTTCTGAAATCAGATTTGCACTGGTTCGTTCAGATATACAGCAGAAATATTTTTTTCTCTATTCCCCCCCCCCCCCCTTAAAACTAGCCACCTTACACTCGCCTTGTTCCTAGAAAGCCTCCTGGGAGCTAAATATACAAATTTGCACACGAAGAAAACGAGAGAGGTTTATTTCGATATTTTCCATCCACTATCAACTGTAGAACTCTTCGCATACTTAAAAAGCCACAGTAGAAACAGAAAACGAGCTTCAACAGTCACAGAAACACAACCACAAACCAAAGTTAAGTCTTACAGAGATAAAGGGAAACCAGTCCCGCCCGGGCGGGTTGGAGAAACCTCCAGCGGATCTGTCAGATGAGAAATCAGCTCCGGCCGGCATGGCATGAGACCAGCAAGGTCTAGATTTGTTACCCTAAACCCTTCTTCGGATGAGGATGAGGATGGAGAGGGCAGCGCTGACCCGCCGCATCCCCCGGTGCCACCCGCGGGACGAGGTTCCTTCCCCGGGGGAAGCGGAGGGCCCCGGCCCCGGCGTGGCACCGGGCCCCGGAGGAAAGAGGGTGGCAATGGGAAAACATGCCGGGAGCTCGCTTCAGGCGAAAAAAAAAAAAAAAACCAAACCAAAACCAACCCCACAAAAACCCCACCCCAACAAAACCCCACCGACATTCAAGTATTAAAAGCATCTCAGCAAACGGGAGGGGGAAGAAATACACACAGGCTAGGGTTGGCACTTCATCTCTGCAACAGCCTACTGCTTTAGGAAAAGTCAATTCACAATAAATTATAAATATGCTAGCACTAAGAACACAACCTTCCCCTCCCTTATAGCTCTACTAAGGTAGTTTTTTAACTAGAAAATCCCATTCTTCCTCTCCTCTAAAAGTTGGGAATAAGTTGGCAGGGGTTCTTCCGCCCCTTTTTCTCCTAAATAATTTACAATGCGGCTCTGAGAGTGCCCCCCACACACTCTGTCGCCTCCCTCCCCGTCTTTTCTCCTCTTCCAAGTGACCCAATATAAAACTACCAGATGAGGAGGTTTGCCTGTAAAGATCCTACTAAACTTTCAGGTCAAAGTCACATATCTGCCATGGCACGATTCAAATAAAAATCCCGCCTAATAAAACAAACTAAAACTTAAAAATAATAAAAATAATAAAAGAAACCCAGCGCGGTTGGGAGTTGGGCTGTCATTAACCGACTACCCCGGTATAAAGTTGGCGAATTGAAAATGATTTGTTGGGTGCAATTAAACGCAAGTCTTACGAATGTGTCTGTCTTGCAGTAGTTTAATTAAATCGTCTGGTTCCTTGGCCACCTCAACGTGTGAGTGTGTGTGCGAGTGTGTGTGTGTGTGTGTGCGCCGGGGTGTTGTGAATGTTATAGAGAATCATTGTCCTTACGTGGATAAAGAAAGACAGCGAGGTTTGGTGGGGGCTTGGGCCAGGGTTGTTTGTGGCCAGTTGTGTTTGCCGTCTTGCTTTCCATGGAGAAAATGCAGGCAGAGAAAGCTGCTGCCCAGACAGGAGCCTGTGTCTATGTTACACTGGAGGGAGAAGAAAAGAGGAAGGGGGAAAAAAATAGAGAAAGAAAACAAGAGAACAGAAACAAAACCCAGCATGTGTCCCCAAAAAGGAGCTGCAGTTCTGGCTAAGTTGTCTCCTCTGTGGCAATGCTAAGAAGATTTAAAAAAAAAAAAAAAAGAAAAAAAAGAATAATAAGCAATATCTCGCATGCAAAGGTGGAGATGGGAAACGGGGAGGTTTTCCGATGCTGCTTTTCTGGTTTTTCATTCTTTGCCCTGTTCCTTGTTCATTTTCTTCATTTTCATCCTTCGGTTCTGAAACCAGATTTTGACTTGTCTCTCACTCAGGTTGAGGAGTCTGGCCACTTCGTGTCTACGGTCCCTCGTCAGGTACATATTGAATAAAAACTCCTTCTCTAGTTCCAGGGTCTGGTATTTGGTGTAAGGGCATCGTTTTTTCCTGGAGGAACGGGCGTGAAGCCAGCTGGCAGCTGGGTTGGCTGAAAGAAAAGCAGCGAGATCAATACGATGCAGCTTGAGTGTTTCTCAGAAGGTTTTAATCATGCCATCAAATATTAAGATTATACATACGCATATGCGCGCCCGGGTGAAAAACGCTGTCTGCCACAGGCGTTAGCAGCAGAGGCCGTACCAAAATCACACGGGACCGTCAGGCTGCGCAGATGGAAGGGGGGGGCCCGATCCCGAAATGCACACGCACCCCCCTCCCTCCTGAATGGGGGGGTGCACACGCATGCCTCTGCACACGCGTGGCCGCGCACACACATGTTTCCGTGCACACGCGTGACCGCGCACACACATGTGTCCGGGCGCACACGTATGTTTGGGCGCACACGTGCCGCTGGCAGAGCTCCCCCCGCTTTTCCCCAGGTCCATCTGTGCCAGGTAAACACCCACATGCACTTATAGATTTGCATAACGCCCATCTGCACGTTACACCCGCTATATACAAAGAAACCAACGCAAAAAAAAAAAAGTATATATTATATATTTTTCAGACGTGTTTTCCCACGTGTCTACAGATTTACTCCTA